TTGGGCTCTACAAAACTCCCTCAGAGGTAGGCGAGGCATGGAGAGATCGAATCTTTAGCATATGGCAGGCATCCCCTTAACTAACATTTCAACAAACACTTACCCATATATCTACACATTTTAAGCTTCTGCAACTTGCAGTGTGTGTGGGGATATAAATGCTCTTCAAGAAAATGGCAAGAAATATATGTAGAAATTAAAATTGACAATAATCACTATTATCCCAAATAAAAACCCAAACCCAAGATGCATAGTGATATATTTCCTAAGTTTTAAAAGGGAAAAAACTATCCAGGATGCCAAGAAAAACCTGATTCCTTTTCAACCCAAAATAGCTATTTGAAAGCAGGAAGCCATGATGACTAATTGGCCCTCTCCTACCCCACTGCTGAATTAATGTAGGAAAAAAAGAAAAATTCTTTTAAAATCCTCATGCTATCAGCAAAACTTAAAAGATATAGTTTAATGCAAATGAACATTATCACTATGAAAAAAAAAAAAAGTGGAAACGAGACAGCTTAAACAAGAAAACAGATTTCTAGCCTCTTCTCTTTTCAAATCTAGGAGGATAAACACTGATGTAAACAAAGTCAATGAATTATAAAATACCACTGTCAGGACATCTCCCAGAATGCAAAAAGATGTCAATACGAGCCAAAAAGTATATAACATGGAAATAATTCCAGAAGATTCAATTTCTATACAATGGAAATTCTAAAAGAAATGGAATTGGTAGAGATAATAAAATAACACAAAAAATTTTCCCTAAATTGAATGAACTTGAAGCTTTAAAAAAGGGGGCTCATCAATGCAATGAAGAAATTTTCTTTTAAGACACCTCTATACCATAGATGTGGTGAAATTTTTGAATTCTAATGGTAATGACAGAATCATAGACTCAGGAAAAAAGCAGACTGGTGGCAAGGTAAAGAAAATCTGACAATGTTTGACTTCTCATCTGAATCTCTAAAGGACAAAAGACAAAATGCTAAGTATGTAAAATTCAAAGAGATTTAGCCTTTCAAACTACATTTCAAGACCTCAGGACTTAAATAAGTTTTTAGACATAAAATGTCTCAAATAGTATATATGATCTATGTACTCCATATATTCTTGAACAAATTACTTAAGTATTTTAACCTGAGAAAAATAATTTAGAAAAAAAGAACTCAACAAAAGAAAAAGAAAACCATAAAGCTTTTAAAACAACTGCTTTGACTATCCAATTTATGACACGGTTGATAAACCCTAATTAAAGCAAACTGAATCACAGTATACCAACAGAGTAATATCACATGATCAAAAAGATTTATTTTAGAACTGAGAATGGCTTAATATTAGGAAAGTCTTTATATATAATACAGTAAGGGGAGTATAAACCCCAAAACTGTAGTACCTTAAGATTTCAAAAAGGAAAAAATGGTAAAAAATTAAAAATAAAAATATTTCAAATGGTATTTTTTTAAAGTTAAAAGAAAAAGCTAAAATGCAACATCTATACCTGATTTAAAAAACTCTTTGTAAATTATAAGAAACCTCCTTAGCATAAACGCACTTGATCAGAAATCATCAGCCCATGCAGTGATTTAAAACAATAGAGGTAAGCTCACTCAAGGCAAAGAAAAATGAATTCTCCCTGTCTCCACTATCATTCAATACTGTTCCAGAAAATCTAACATATACAATAAGGAAAAAAAGTAAAGGCTAGAGAGGATATAGCAAAAAATTTAGTATCTGCAGATTCTATAATTGCAAACTAAAAAAATCTAGCAATCAACTAAAAATTATTTAAAATAAGATTTTAAAAAATCTCTAAATTTCCTATATGCAGCAACAATCATTCAGATAAGTCTCATTCACAATAAAACTATAAAATAAACATGAAGAAAATTAAGTTTAAGACCCACATTAAATTAAAAACAAAACCAAAATACTATGAAACTACGTACTAATGCACAATAGACCCAAATAAGGGAGAGATAATGATTTAAAGTTTACTTTCCCCTCAAACAACGTATACATTGATTGCAACTGAAGTCAATAACCCAATGAGAATTTATTGGAATTTGACAGACTGCAAAATCATCTGGAATAACTGAGAAAAATAAAGGAAATTTAAAAAAAGAATAAGAGAGCCTTGCTTTAATTTTACAGATGTGAAATATAACATTTAAATGTAAAAGTGGCAAATAAATGAGTACAAGATCAACAGAATTCAAGTGAGTCTATGAATAAATGTAATTTATGAAAAAGTGGCATTTGAAATTAAATTAAAAAACTTGCCATCCATTTGGAAAAAAAATCTATTCCATACAGAAACAGTCCAGGGGAATAAAAGGACGGCAAGGAGGCTTTAGCTCACTAATTTAAAGCATTATAGTTAGATTGTGAATTCATAACTGCACTCAGCAAGAAGGCAAGCAATATGTGACAATGTCAATCAGCAAGAAGTCAAGCAACATGTGACAATGTCAACTATGCTTATGGGAGAAAGAGGCAACGCAATGTAACTACAATCCCTAGATTACATTTTTAGTATAAAAAATATAGCCATTCAAGCACTGGGAAAAAATGTATGATATTTTTTTATAAGCACAGGGTGAAAAAAAAACCTTCCCTAGTATGATACCAGTTAAAAACCTTAACAATTGGTAGATATGACAATCACATAAAATGAAAAACATTTACATAGCAAAAGATCTATCAACAACATGGCCAAAGATCAGTATCTTTACTAACAGGGACATGTCAAGAACTTCTACAAATCAGAGAGACCTCATTAATTGCCCTGGTTGGTGTGGCTCGGCTGGTTGGGCATTACCCCACGCACCAAAAAGTTGCCAGTTCCATCCCTGGTCAGGGCATATGATTGGGCTGCACGCTTGATCCCGTGCAGTTTTGTTCTCACATTGATGTTTTTCACTCTCTCCCTTTCCCCTCTCTTAAAAACATCTTAAAAAAAAAAAAAAAAGACCTCATTAATTATTCCATAAATTGATACCTCTTTACAATGAATTAAAACAAGTCTATAAATTCATATCTGAGAACTGGTTTCAAGGAACAGTTCACATAGATGTGTATATGGCTGTTACTGAATATGGGACTATTTTTGTTTTTAAGGTCAAAACCCAAGGACTATCAAGAAGGGATATGTATAAAGGCACTGTGTAGTCACTAAAAAAAGATGGAGGCAGAGTTGTGTATAGACATGGACCTATGCTGTGATAAACTATTAACAATGGGTGCTTGGGTGGTTTTCTCTGGGGAGATGGAATTACAGAGAGATTTCACCTTTGCCACATTGTTTTTACTTTTTTTTATAATGTGCATCTATTATTAAAAAGGGGAGGGGGAGCCCTTCTCCCCAAACCAAAAGCCTGTAAGCAATTATAAGAAAAAACATGACGATAATTGCTAAATTTTTACTTAGCCAGGAAAATTATGCCTTAAATTACAAAAATTTTTATTCGTTTAATGAGAAAAACCCCATTTCCACACTTACATTAGCTGGTTGCTCTCAACAGGAACATCTGTGTCTTCACTGAGTTCCAATCTATCACGCCTGTAGGTCGAACCAACACTCAATCCATGAATTAATAATAATGAGGCAGAAAGAATTTTCCTCCTCACATTGCCAAGGAAACCTCTCAGCCACAATTCAAACACAGGATGTGTTTTTAAAACATCTCCCAACTACTGAGAGATTAAGTCCATTAGAACAACCTTTGTCAGACTGGAGACAGCTAGGGCTGGTTATCTCCTCAAAACAAAAACAAAAACAAAAACCAAACAATAAAGTTCATTTAAAGATGAACTTGAAATTCAAAGGATTATTTAAAAAATATCCATCTTCCATAGCCGAACAATATAATTAAAAAAAAAAACAACAACAAAAAAAAAAAAAGAAAAAGAAAGAGAAAAAAGAAAAAGAACACCAAAATTCAATAAGATCCAATTTCTGGTCTTCAAGATATCTTCACCTATTAAGAAAAAAACAGAAACCTTCCCCCATCTTTATTATCTGTATAATAAAAGCATACTTGTATGTAAAAATATAAAGTGTTTTATGTACATAATATACATATATACTATTGGCTTATACACGCACACACACACACACATACACACAAATGTGTAGAAATAAAACATTTGGGTAAGTTTTCCCTTTTAAAATGAACTACTAAAGCCTTTAGATTTGGGTTCATTATAAAAGTAGTGAACTTACTCTTATACCAAAGTATTATGAAGTATATTAATATGTTACACAAAATTTTGTCCAGCCCACAAAATAAAGATGAAGGGAAATCTTTACACATATATCAATGTGTATAATATGGATGCATGTATATCATCATGATCTTTTTCATCTTCAGGGAGCGTTTAACCAAAAAAGATAGAAATGTATTGTTATAGAGTAACTATAGAACGGTGCAGCAAGCTGTAGAAGGCAGAGCAGCATTATAGCCATACTGAACTGGCACTGTCAAAATACAAAAAGTTTCTATTAAGGGAAGATTTTTTTCTTTTATAGCAACACCAGTGTCAACTGGCATGAAATTCAATATTGGCCCTGCAAAGGCTTGCTTATGCAGCCTAGTTTCAAATTCTTTACTACTGATGGCTACAACTAAAAACATTGTAATTATCCATTTACTCCAGTTAGTAAAAGGGTAAACTTTGAAGTTGAAATTTCATTCCACAATGGTACATTTACCATTTGAGAATTAAAAAAAAAAAAAAAAAAAAGCCCCCCCACCCCCAAAAAACCAATCGATTTGATACATAGAAATAATTCTAAATTTTGAAACCAGCCCAGTAACAAAGCAATTTTGATTCTCATGTAATAGATACTACATTATGTCTAGGCTAAATCTTGCCAAATACTATCCAAGACAAAACTAAAATCAAACTTAAAAAAAAGTGGACACCTTTTACTCACACTTAATACTAGTCAATTTTCCAGGAAATTTTTGGGCAGGGAATATCCCCAAATCTAAAATGAAAAAAAGGAAAAATTGGGATCTTACATTAGTTATTCAGTCTAAAAATTTTAATAGACTTTTATTAAAAGTCATCATTTTCTGGCCTCCCACTCTATCACAGAAACATACTTTGAGTGGAAAGGGACCTTAAAAATTACTGAGATCAATTCTCTCATTTCATCAGTGAGGAAATGATTCCTAACACATGAAAATATTGACTGCATATTTTTAGTTAAGAATTGAGGCCAAAACAATTTCATAGTTAAGAATACAGTTTTATGAATAATTTAGTATATTTTTAAAAGCATTTAAGATCACTTAATATCAGAAAAACATTCTTTGGAAAATGGATACTATGTTTGTCAAAGTATGCTAGTGAACGGGACTTTCATCTTAATTCCCATTCAATCTTTTAAATTTTGTAAACTTTTACTATGTCATTTACCTATAATTAGGCAAAAGTACCTATGCAATCTTTGTTTTTACACTATTTTATAAGGGTTAAAAAAAAAGTAATTCAAAGATTAAAAGTAATTTTTCCTAATTCTTTTCTAATGTTTCCCTTTTATATAGATCCAATCCTATAAAGGGTTACTCATTATAAAGCTGACCAGTATGAGGAGGCAATCAGAAATTTCTAAATATAAAACAATTTTGTGAGTTTTGTTTCTGACAAGCTGTAAGTATGAATCAGGGTTTTAAAAGAAAATAGAAAAATGGGAGTGGGGAGAGGAATACCACTTAGTATGTTTTTTTCTCTCAATATCATTGGTTTCAGAGTAATCAAACTTTCCATGTTGGTAGAAATTTTACTAAAAACCAATTAGTAGTTCAGTTTACCAGTCAGAAATAGCCCAAGGCCTTTCAATGCTGCACTATATTTTTTTAAATTAAAAAATATCCTTCTCTCAACTGGTATAAGCAAAATTTCATGTGACTGCTATACCGAGTTAGTACTGTAAAATCACTAAAGTTAATCTTCACTTTGTCAACATTACCTCTGAGGAATTTCAGCCCTTTTTGTGTTTTCAGGTTGCCCCAGATTCATGTATAAAGAATAATTAGTTAACTATATGTAACAATTATAGCAATTAGAATACAGTAACAGAGCAAGAAGTTGCCCATTTTAAATGGAGAAAGGAAAATTAAGATAATATTTCTTTTTCGTTGCTTTGAACAACTTCATTCTCAGGATCCCAGCTCAGAACCAATGCAGAATAATCATATTTAACATTTTTCAAGTTCATTTTCAGAAACATCAGCTGTTCTACATTGTCAAAGTCCAGGCTCATGATCTGCTTTGGATGAAAGTGACTATTTGCAGTAAAGATACATTCAGATTGCCAACTACACATGGGGCAGCTGAGATACTGAATGGCAACTTGGGTCAAAGCTGGCCATATGCTCACCTTCCTCTGCCAGTAAATCAAAGGGTCATCACCTTCTGAGATTTCTGAATACTTCTCTTTGAAGTATTCATCCACTACTGCTACAGCAGAAGGAAACATGAAGCTTTTGCCTCCAATGCCAACATTATCTGCGGCTGAGCTATCAACAGACCCTGAACTGGAAGTGCCTTCTCTTGTAGATGAAGTAAATGAATCAGTTTCTACTATAGCTGAGGGACCAGAAGCTTCTGAAGTTGCAATATGGCAGACCTCTGGTGAAGATTCCATATAAGTACAAACTTCTTCTGCAAGGATCTGCTTGTAAGTTTCTAAATCAGCACCATGAGGGAAAAAGTCTTCCAAACTATTTTTAAAGCAAGGATCTAACAAAGCAGCCAAGATACAGGGCTTAGATTTGAGCATGGCACTTAGTAGGGTGTCAGTTTCAAGTTTCAGAGATAAACTGTCCACCAGATTGAGGGCCTGTGTAATACCTCTGACTTGAAAATCTTCTCTGAGTTTCTGCAGGGAAAGGAGTAGATGATGGATTAGGGGTAGCACCTGATTCAATCCTGTGGTCTTCACACTCACTTTCTGGGTGGCCTCCTCAAATGGTTTAAGAATGTCACAAACATAAGTCATTAGAGTCCATTGAAGGGAGGTGAGTACAACTCCACTGGCTCTACCAAGACTGTGGTGAACTGAGTAGCAATGTTCCAAGAGCCATTTTAACATATGAAAGGTAGAAATCCAATGGCCAGTTTCATCCTGCTTCAAATTCTTCCATGGAAGTTGGCGATCATTTTGGAACTCCTGCAGTATCTGACGGGCTTTGATTGAATGACTAAAATGATGACAGGTTTTTCTAGCAGCCACTAACATATTCTCAATGCTTTTGTGCTCACAGAAAAAATCTTGAATGACTATGTTTAAACAATGCAGGAAGCATGGCACATGGGTAAAACCACCATCTTTGATTGCATGTACCACATTAGAGGAATTGTCAGAAACAATGAAGGTAGGAATGAGGAAATTAGGAGAAAGCCACAGACCAATCTGGTCATTTAATTCTTGTAAAATGTTGGTTACCAAACAGTTTTTGGCCAAACCTGTTACACAAAGCACTGCCCATTTTCTAAAATTGGGGATCCAGCCATTATTGGAAGAAGGTACAGTGTCCAAGGAGACCCAGTGTACAGTCACAATAAAATAGTCAGTGGATGGATCATGGGTCCATATGTCCACCGTCAGGTGGATCTTTTGGCTTTGAACATTCTCCAAAGTTAAGAAAATTTTTTCTCTGACCCAATCATATAACTGAGGTACAGCCTTAGTGAAGAAGTAAGTCTCAGATGGTAACCTATAGTCAGGGGCCACAATCTGCATGAACCTCTGAAAGGCTGGAGTTGAGAAGTAGTTGTAAGGATGCATATCCTCCACAATCATTTGAATAATCGCCTGACTTATTTGACCAGAGACTGAATTTTCACAATATGTTGTTTCTCTCTCCTGGGCATGCATCAGAGTATCTTGTTCTGCAACAGGAACAGGACTCTCAGATATTCTATTTTCAGCCTCTAACACAGGAGGCTCATCTGAATCAGAGTCACTAAGGTCCTCAGCTGTTAAATCTTGGCTGCCTGTAGACTTCTCTCTATGCAAAGTATCACTCAAGAAATTTCTCTCAGTCTCTGCCTCAGCCTCATCTAATCCATTTCCTACTGCACCACTGTCTTTGTTGGCAACAGCCCAATGGATGGGATGTGTGGCCTGCAGGTGTCGTTGAAGTGTTGAAGTTCCTAAGTGAGAACCTGGCCTACCCCGGCTGACACTTCTTTTACATATATTACACACAGCTCTTGAGATGTGCTGAGGATCTGTATAAAAAAAATTCCAAACTGCAGATGTCTTGGCTCTCGTTCCAGGAATTAAGGCATGCTTGACAATGTTACTTTTGATGAGAAATCTCCCCCTTTCCGCTCTCAGGGCATCAGATACAGATTTATCACGTTTCTTACCCATTCTATTATCATCTAATGGATCAGTAGGAATATATTCAAAGCTTCCATTGCTTCCGGCAGATGAGGGAGATAAAGGTACATCCAAAGTAAAATCCTCCTCCCCACTAGTGACTCCAAATTTGTTAGCCCTTGTCCAGTGAGGTGAATGCCTTGCCTGCAGATGTCGTTGAAGAGTAGATGTCCCTAGATGGCTGCCTGGTTTACCCCTGCTAACACTTTTTTCACAGAGGTTACAAATAGCCCGCCAGGTGTACTGAGGGTCAACATGAAAGAAGTGCCACACAATGGAGGTCTTGGCTCTAGTACTAGGTAGGTAGATCTGTTTTTCTATATTGCTCTCAAAGAGCCGTTCTTCATCCTGCTCAGGAGCAGTGGAAGCTAACAAAGCAGGGGCATCTGCAACAGGCCTCCCAGATCCTAAATCCTTACTAAACTTTTTCACAAGGATCAGTTTCTTTCGTCGCCTTTTCCCCTTAATTCGCAAACCCTTCTTTCTTTTCTTTTTAGCAGGCAATTTTGCCTCTTTGTCCATTCCTTCTGCCACCATCTTTCTCTCTACCACATCTTCTTTATCTGTATTAGAATTAATAGAAACACATCCCAGAATCCCAGCACCACTAAAAGAGCTGCATCTTCTGCCAGGAGAGAGTGAGGAAACTGGTACACTTAGTGTACATACACTCATTCTCTTTATGCCTCCAAAATTCGTACCAGAATCTGTTAGTGGGTTTATTACTTAAGCAGAAATACAGCTGTTCCTCTCCACTTGCATTACCTATTCTCCAATTTCTATGGGGAATCAAATTCCCTTTCGACCAGTGACTTCCAAGCCAGATTATTTTTGGAGGAAAAGTGACAGCAATGGAGAACATTCCCAAGCTCTTTCTCAGAGGGCTTTAAGATCCCTTCCAACATTCTGAGTTCTGAATTCAAATTGTCCAATCTACTCATGTTACAGAAAAAAGAAGTGAGGCCCCCTTTCCCAGAGTCATAGAGTTGGTCAGTAGCAGCTAGAAGCCAGGTTTTCCAAATCCCAGGCTTATGTTCTTTCTGCTTCATCAAGAACTACATTTGCTTGAAATGCCTTCAGCTTTTAAAATATGTATTTTTATGATGCCTCACAACAGCAACATCAATTTCCATTAATTCTGAAATTAATTATTTTCAGGAAATTTCATTTAAACAAAAACATAGTGCATCATTCAACATCGATCATTTAGGACTGTGATTTGTCAATACAACCCAAAAAGTCAATTCTGGAATGCTAAATCAGACTCCACATACTGGTCATTAACAACAAATGCTAGTTGACTTCTCTCAGCTCTAGTAAAAAGTAATACACGTTTAAAAACTGTGGGTGGCTAAAAAAAAGAAATGCTTTGAGGGTAAAATTGAAAATCAAGATCACAAGATGTACTTTCAAGTTACTGTTTGTATCGAGAATTTAATCCAAGTTTATTTTCAGACACTTTTAGACTAGAGCTTTATGGCCTGTAAATGAGTAACTCATAAGTTGAACTCTACATGAGCAGCAAAAACTGAAATGAGCTTTAAGCCACTTCCATTCCTTCTCTGTTGATCCCTCCCCTTCCCCCAATATCTACGTACAATTACCCTAAAAAGCATCGCTACCACTATTTCCACAGCCTCCTTCTCAAGGTCCAGAACCAAGGCCTGTAAGATGTCAATAATATGGGCCTTCCCCATAGGAATCCGCACCGATTATGGGAGTTTAGGGGGTGTTCTTCATTACGGTTTCATCCCTCCTACAAGGAGAACGGAAGTGTCCCTGTTGCTCTTGACTCCGATGCTGAGGGCTGGGGATGGGAGTATAATTAAAGTAGGGATGGGGCGTAGGATACCGGAATAAGGTCGGTGGCTTTCTGTTTGTGGAGTTTGAGAAAACCTCCAAAGTAGTGAGACCCTGGAGAGGAATGAGAGTAGGTAAATTCAGCTCCTGGCACTCAGGTTAATTTAAGCGCTGTGGGGGGAAGGGGGGGCGCGTCTGTTAAATTATGGCCCAGAAGAAAGCAATCTTGTGTCAATTCTCGCTCCAGGAGTGGAGGAGCAAGTCGGCTTTCCGGGGCTGCTCTGGGCTCCTAGTTTCGCCAACACCGGATGTGGGGGAGGGGAGGAAGGTTGGCTGGGAAGGGAGCAGGCGCCGTGGGGGTGGGGTGAGGTGGGCTGGGGTGGAGGTGGGGTGGGGTGGATGGGAACAGCGGGAGTCCGGGGCTCCCCGCCCGCCCCGGTGAGGGCAGCGGCCGGAGTGAGTGGGAAAGGGGGATGTCGTTACGGCGGGGCCGACGGACCCGCTATGACTTCCCAGGCTAGGCCGCGACCCAGGGGCGAGGGGAGGCCGCTGCCACTCCCCTCGCCCTCTCCCCAACCTCCCCGGCCCCAAACCACCCGGGAATCAAAAAACGGGTCTAGTTACCGGAGAACAGAAACTTTACCGAACCGAGGACACTATCCCCGACTCCTGCCTGCTGCCACGTCTTTCTTCTTTCTTAGCCGCTGCCCTCCGCCGTCCTCACAGCAGCAACACCAGCAGAAATCCCAGACTGCCAGCGTCAAAGATGGCGCCCGGCTACAGGTTCAGCTCTAAGACCGGGCGGTAAAAGTGCCAGCACGACGCAATCGCAAGGATTCTGGGAGATGTAGTTCCTCTATGAGGCGATGCTCAAGATGGCGCCCCGGTCATAGGGTCACGTGGGAGGGGAGGCGCTAGGCCAACGGGCCGTTCCTTTCTCGAGAACGCGTTTTATGAAGTTAACGGATTTCTTGAAACCGCCTTTGATTTTTTTAAAAAAGGCTTTAAAAAAAAAAAAAAATCAAATGAGGCACCAAGCGAGGAAGCCGTGACAACTGTGTCTGTCAGACAGTAGGCGCTCAGTCATTTCTTACCGAAGTGTTTGCTTAATGAATAATAAATCGTCCCAACTGTGTAGACGTCTAATTTAGAAATAAACTACTTTTCCCATGCAATGTTGAAGGATTTGGGCATTTATTTTTATCTGGAGAAGTGAAGTTAGGTTTTGGGGGGGTTGTATTTTTTAAAACAAATTTTTGTATTGGAAAAACATTTCAGGCTCACTAAAAAGTCCATGAGGGTTTGGGGAGGAGAAGGAAGAACATCAGCTTTGGCCTCCTCAGTTATTTCCCCATTTGAATGTTTTTACCTTTTCCCCTCTGATTATAAAAGAAATGCAGGTGAGTTTTTGTTTTTTTTTTTCAAGGTAAATAATACAGATATATGGAGGTGAAAGTTTAAATCACTATTAATCTCATTCTTGAGAAGTAAGCTCATTAACTTAGCATATATTGTTTCTAACTTTTTCGCATTGAAATACACTTAAATATATTACACTGGCAAATCAGGGGCCTAAAATGCCCCCTGGGTTAGAGGCGCAGCACAACTTGCTTTTACTGAAGTCGAGAGGACACAGTTCCGCTACCAAGGAAGGATACACTTGATGGGAAAACAGATGGGACTCCAGGCACCTTTTATTTCCTCTTGGGCGCCTTCTGCCAGCTACCAACTTGGTGAAGGAGTCCAACCAGCCCACAACTGGGTCCTGAGTCTCCTTACTCTTGGGCTTGTATCTTCTCTCAAAGCCAGAAGTCACAACATTAGAATCCTTGATGCGGTCCCTACCTTACAGGACAATACTCTGTGGTTGCCATGTCAACCAGACTTAACAAGCAGTTTCCTGGTGACTAATTTCTGTCTGTGCCACAACACCTCTATTTTTCAATGTAACACAGGGTTTTCTAAGCAGCCGAAGGGTTTCCCAGGCTAGGGCTTTCCAAGCTGCAGTCCGGTTGGTATGCTACATATAGTTATATCATATTTTATCAAATCCTAGGTATGATTGCAAGATGCATCTTATTTTATGGACTTCTGAAATAAAAACACCTGGCAGTTGAACTCTAACAGGCTATTGATCAGAGATGGTAAATTTGGAAAGGACCTGCACCTTAGAATGAATGAAATACAGTACTTTAAAGATAAGAATAGGTTAAAACTATGCATATTGTTTTGCCTTTTTTTTTTTTTTTCCCACGTCACAATGTATTTTGAATATCTTTTAATGGTCATGTGAACCTTGAGAGAGAAAAAAGACACCTTCTAAGAAGGGCTCCTGGTGGATAACTGGGCTCAAATAAAAGAGGCAGAGCCTAGCAGCCATTTGGGCACAGGGGCCTCAGGCAAACTGCACTTCCTGGGAAGCCTCTCTACAAAAGCCTCTCTGCCTGAAGACTGTCTACACCAAACTGCCTACTTCCACTGTTTCTGCCATATGAACCAGCTCTTACAAAGGTTTCCTGGAACCCTATTTTAACCAGTAAGATTGAGGCGGTCTCCATCCAATCAGAGCTGCACAACTTTGACCAATCAGAGTGGCTCTATTCTGACCAATCAGGACAGTGCCTTTGGACCAAATATGAGGATTTGCTGTCCTCATTTACATGAGGATGGGCCAATCAGGGACCAGAGGCGGAGATTTCTGTCTATGTAAATCATGGGGAACACATTTTCCACCTAAAAACCAGAGGACTGAGTTTTCGTGGCTGCGATCAGAAGGCTGGTGATGAAACAAGAATATCTTGTTGGAGAAGAGAAAATTGGTGTGGAGCAGAGCAGGCCTAGCTGAAAAGTCGCCTGGCCCCAGGGGCAGCCTCACACCTGTCCTGTTTTGTTTTCACAGCCATTCCACAGTTGTGCTGTTTTCATAACCATGCTGTATCACTGTTGAGCTGTTTGTACTGAATAAAGTTTCCTTCTTCCGAGAATTGAGGATTCCTGTTGGCATTGCATTGGTGCCAAAGACCATCAGTTAACAGTCGTCAGTGCTTAGAGGCTTACCACATTCTTTCTAACCAATACCACAGCAAGGCTGTTTTGCAATGTTTTACAAGTTCCTTTTTGATGGAAATGATGATGTTTCAGTTTCCATTAGTGTCTCCCAAGGGGAAAAAGAAAAATAATAGAGTAATAGAGATATTAAAGAGGACATAAGTTAAATGCCTAGCGCTGTTTAAAAGAGGGAGAACTATTCAGGTGACTCTCTGAAGGCCAGGGAAGAGTCCACATGGGGATTCTCCCCTTCCCCTAATATACACAAACAGGATTATCAGAGGTGAGTGTGGGTTTGCCCTTTTCATGTTATAAGGGGGTAAATTAACTAGACAAAGGACACAATGCCAGATTCTTCATACTCAAACCCCACCCTGAATCTAAATGTATTTCAAACAATCTCTAGACCTCTTCCGTAAATAATTAACAAAAGATTTTGTGCTATCTAATGTGAGAGCAAAGGTATTATAGAGCCCACTAAAAAAAAAAAAAAGAAGGCATAAGTATTGCAACAAAATTGATTCAAAAGTGAATATCTATTTAGACTAGGAAAAAAATTCACAACAAGTTACACATTAAAAAAAACAAGTATGGCCCTGGCCAGTGTGGTTCAGTGGTTAGAGCATTGGTCCATAAACCAAAGGGTTGCAGGCTCGATTCCAGGTCAAGGGCACCTACCTGGGTTGCAGGTTCAATCCTGGCCCTGGTTGGGGCTTATGTGGGAGGCAACCAATTGATGTGTGTCTTCTTACACCGATGTTTCTCTCTCTCTCTCTCTCTCTCTCTCTCTCTCTCTCTCTCTCTCTCTCTCATTTCTCTCTCCCCTCCTCCCTCCAGTCCACTTTCTCTAAAAATCAATGAAAAAATATCCTTGGGTGAGGATTAACCAAAAAACCAAACAAACACACACAAAAAAACACAACTTTGTACCACGTACATGACAAACTCAAAGAAGTCGTAATTTTTTTACTAATAAATCTATAATACATTTTTCTATATCATTAGCTGCATGCTCTTTGCTTATTTATATGACAACACTTTTGTAATATTTTCTATAAAGAGAATAAAAAATAAATCACTTTTTCCTCTGGCATCTTTAATAAAAATAATTTTATCACTGATAGTTTAGAAAAGTTTCAACTTCACAACTTATTAGTAATGTGAAAATTATAGAATAATTGTCAAATTTAGGGAAACTTTTATCAAGTTTCTTACATATACAAGCACTAGGACATTGTTGAATTATTATTAAATTATTGAATATATTATTGACCAGGAGAAAACTGCCATTTTCACTAGATGTATTAGTTATTTATTGCTACATAGTAAATTACCCCAGAACTTAGTGCCTTAAAACAGCGAACATTCTTTTTTCCCTCAATTTTTATGAATTCATTTTTGTTACAGATGTTTCTCCTTTTCCCCCCAGATACCCTCCTCCCCATCCCATCCCCCTAAGTCCTCCCAACATTGTTGCCTATGTCCATTGGTTACACCTACATGCATATAAGTTCTTTGGTTTATCTCATCCATCCCCTCCACCCATACTCTGAGGTGTGTCAGTCTGAACCATACTCCTTTCTATGTCTCTGGGTCTATTTTGTTCATAAGCTTATTTTGTTCATTATATTCCACAAATAAGTGAGATCATGTGGTATTTGTCTTTCTCTGACCGGCTTATTTTGCTTAGCATAATGCTCTCCAGGTCCCTCCATGTCGTCTTAAAGGATCTTTCTTTCTTACAGCTGCATAGTGTTCTATTGTGTATCTGTACCACAGCTTTTTTATCCATTCATCTATTAATGAACACTTGGGCAGTTTCCAGATCTTAGCAATTGTTAATAGTGCTGCTGTGAACACAGGGGTAT